TCTGTGGGAAGGAACTCTGTCCTTGCGAGTAGCTCCCATCGGTGTGAGCTAAATATCACACAATCATATTGACCAAGCAGTAATAATGCAAAGTAGAGGGTTTCATGATCAAAGAAAGCTTTGAGTATCACTCACAGAAGGGTGTATTCTCATAAATCCCTTTAGGCGCAGGAGGAATTGGCGGCGGAGCTGCTGCAGTGGTCACAGGAGGTTGAGGAGCTGGTGGCTGCTGCTGTTGTTGCTGTTGCTGTGGGAATGATATAGGTGACTCAGTGGCTGAAAAAGGATTCTTTGTAGGAATTTCAATTCAAAATTCTAAAATCCTCTCACATGACGAGTTTTGAGATGTGAAACGCTGCAGATCCTGCTGGAATGGTGATCCAACTCCTTGGAACTGCGACACTAAAAAAAATCATGTTGACCAAAGCTCTCAACCGACGAGGTAAGAAACCTACCCGGCTCTTGTTTCACGACACCAAATGGATTTCCGATCTGAGCGCCGGCCTGCTCGTTTCCAGAAGTCATAGAGCCACCTTGAGACTCTGCATTGCTGGTAAACCCAGAGTCGGTGGTGGGAGCAGCGCCAAATCCTTGCTGCCACATAGCCGCCACGGAAGGTTGAGGTTGGGGAGGTTGTTGGGTGTTATCGGACATGAGGAATGGATTCGTATCATTGCCTCCATCTCAACCAAGTAATAGGCATAAGATTAGAGCAACAAAAATAAGATGTTACTATAAAACTGGCGAACACCAAAATACGAACACTGACAAACACAAGACAACATTACGAAATGACAATTGCAAAGAATACAGAATATGCTTAGAATGGTATTTAGAACCGTCGTCGTGGTTTTCGAACGATGTCCGTAAGAATGTGAGAACTTCACATCCACAAAAAAAGCCCAAACAAACTACGTGAGAATTCTGACAAAGCAAAGTACCTCCATTGCTTGGCTTTGCGCTGAAAGCCCGTGTGAAATCCGGTTGAAATCCATTCGTGTTTCCGACATTTTCAGCAGGACGCTGTGACACTAGCGGTTGAGCCATGACTAGAATTTCACAGCCACTATGGTTTAGTTCTTCACAACATGCGATAATCCCGAAGTACATGCATGCAACATTCACTACACTCGTTTGAACATTTTCGAACTAGCTTTGCTAGCAGAGGTTGTCCAATAATACACAATACACAGAACGACATTTGAAGAAAAAAATGGAAAAAACGCTTACCTCCACCTACGGAAGGATATCCACTAGGACCAGTCACGTTCGAGCTGGTTGGGACAGTGAATTGGGCAAATGGATTTGTGGCATCGATGAGTGGCTGTGAAGGCTGAAAACGCAATTTCTCCTTGCAAACGCCTACCGTACAAGATTGAAAAGCTCAAAAGTGTGTGCAAGGGATACCAGAAAAATTGGCAAAGGAACAACACAACAGTGGTACAGTCTCACATAGCAACCCTATGGTCCTGAAATGCATGCAATGCCAAAAATCAAATTCAGCTTTTGAAGGCTATGTCCTGTCAAAAATTCGTTTCCCAGTTTTTCATTCTCTCGGCCTTTTCGCTATGAGAACCCATATCTGGGCTTTTTGCATGAAATGGCGAAAATAAGCTTTTCTCGAAGTTCTTCGGGTCCGCATTCAGTAGACAATATGTATAAGTGGGCGGAGTCCGAAA